GCTCACATAATATATATATATATATATATATATATATTTATATATTTCACACATGCATAGCCAAATAAATTTTAATAAAATATAATCTAACATTTAATCAGAAATCATGTTGTATATACACTTGCTGCCTTCAGGGAACAACCATTGCAGAACAAGAAATTAGCACTTTACAGAAATTGAAAATGCCAGGATGTGAACCTCCTTGAATACTAATATAAATATATACATAATAAGGGGAAAAATAAGTAAAAGTATGTAATGTACAACTACAAAATACTATTGACTCCATTATAGTACAATGTTGCCTCAAGCCTCAACATGCACAGTTTCATAAACTTTCGATAATGTGTATTATATAAAGTTATTCAAAATGCATCTTTACTCTTTCATAAATGTGGCTTTTGATGAAAAAGACAGTTACACTGTTCAAAGGTTCACTTTGATCACATTCACAAAGAGAATTTGGCACTGCAGCAAATCTGGCACATGCAGAAAAAGGAATCAAATTGGCTGCCAATGGATGATATAACCAATTTTTGTGTAAATATTTGCTTCTCCTCTCTTGATAAAAAGGAACTCACAAATTAAGTGCTGTATTTTGTTACTACGGCCTGCACTGTGGTCGCTCAAGCAGACTAAACAACAACATAAAGAGAACCTGCCAAGGAGTCAAATTGGACTCAAACTAGAAAACAAATAAACAGAAAGGCAGACATAAGAGGTGAAATTATATTACCGGGTTTACTGCAGGAAGGAAAACGACAAAGCAAATAAGAAAGAAATCAAAAGGAGATGAGAGAAAAATGTCTGTGGAGCAGTTTGACAACAGCTACTTCAAAAAACCGTCTGATCCTCAACACAAAACACTGAGCTTTATACACCAACACAGCTGCTGATCAAATACACATTTGTGTATTTTGTGTATATTGTGATATGTTCTTTTAGCTAAATCAAAAGAGCTTTTCTTAACCAGTTAGCACTATGCTAAGCTAGTAGGCTAAGCTTTTAGCTTGCAAACTGAAAAGACAAAGAAAGAAATGTATAATTTGACCAATTAAGCTTGTAATCCAATTTAATGGGATTAATGGGCTATTTAAATTATGAGAATAAAAATCTAAAGAATGAAACAATGTAAAGCATTTGTATAATTTGTCATTTGAGACATGTTGTCTCAGCCAGTAGAATGGCTCTGGAGTCAAAGTGGGATCGGATTTTGCGGGGATCTTCTACCTCACCTGAAACGTCCAAATCCAGAGCATTACAGGTACAAAAAGATGAATAAGAGCTCACCGTTAACAACCACTTTAATGCTGCGGAAGTCAACCTCTCCGCGGGCTTTAATGCGGCCCTCACAAGTGTAGACACCCTCGTCGGTCTTCCTGATCCCTCGGATTTGGAGATGGTTGTTATTCAAAGTCCTGAAACGGACTGTGGTACAGAACAAGGGTGAACAGATGTCTGCGAAATTGCGTATTAAAATCGCATGCAAAATGATCAATTTAACACTTTTTTTCATCTGTTATCACAGGGCTTAATAAAGTGCCACATTTCTGAGAAAGCAGCATTAGGCTGCACTAATGATCTCATCAATTTATTAATGAACGCAAACAGTGAGAGTTAAAGCAAAGCAAATCACACTTCTTATGTAAGGCATTATTTTTCACATGTAAAGTGTGGAACTTTTGACGTACCATCTTTTTCGAACTGGATCTTTGCACCTTTGTATTTCCAGAGGACGGTGGGTGGAGGTGAGCTTATGACGTCACACACTATAATGGCATTGTCCCCTTCAGTGAACTCTTGAGGTGATGGGACATTTGTGAAGGTAATTTTTTCTGGAGGAAAAAACAGTCCAGCAACAACTGATTATGCAGCAATGATTAATTTTGTATTGTTGTAGTCTACTGCAAGGAACCAAGTCATCATCCAAAATAAAGTCTCCTCAGAAGCACCTTCAAAAAATATAAATACTGCATTTTTGGAAATATAAGTTGCATTATTTTATCATCTGAAATGGGCTTGTATTTTAAAGTGACATAAATATATAGTGCATTTAACGTCAATCACGCAAAACATTTGGTTTTGTGCTAAATGAGTTCAAGTTTACTTTGTACAGTGCATTTCCATTTCACTTTAAATAAATTCATTTAGGCTTGACGTTTATAATACATTTTTATTATGAATGCCACTATAATTTGTTTGCTTTGCTTTGTCAAAATGGCTGAAAAACTACATTCGAATTTTGTACTTAAATATGATCAAAATTCGAGTTCTATTCGAATTTAAAATGCATAATTTCAGTTAGGGTGAAGAAAAGCATTTGGCTTCTCTTCTGAGGCCACAAGAGGGCGCATCGAGCAAAATATTACTAATGCACGTTTATTCAAAGCAAAAGATAACATGACTATCTGTGAAAAAAGTGCAAAATGTTTAAAATAATGTTTATAAACCAATTATAATTAATTAAGTTGCTTAATCAACTATAAAAAAACAGCACCATGTATGTATGCATAGTTTAATACAAAGGGCGGAAAGCCAATCACACGGAGTACATTTTTCATTTAAAAACATGAGATGCAGTGGGATTGGGGGAAAAAAAGCATTAATTTTACCTGGCTTTCTGAACATGTGATGAGATGCGAGTGCAACAGTGATAGATGTCCCTCTAGAAAATGCGATAAATATGTGTTCTGTGTGAACGGCTTGGTTTCAGTTTTGACGTAAACAAGATCTTCTCCGCATTGATGTTCTCTTTTCCCGCAATATTTGTAATGAACAACGCAGCAGCGCCGCATCTAGTGGCTTCAACTGAATAGGCTAACAAAAACATTATAATGCAACGACACTTACATCATCATCGCATCTCGTGCACCGCTGATAAGGCTGCCTCCTTAACGC